AAGGAATACGTAACAAACTTGATACGCATTAATGGCCCGTGGCTCGTGCTACGTGCACGGCCACGCCCTTCGGCCAAAACATGACTGAACTTAATTTTTCTTCGAACAACTCAAACTATTTGAACATGATTTAACATAAACTGATTAACCACACAAGGTTGCTCGAGAGATTATAAATTTAATCACGATGTGACCTACATGAACCTCACGCACGGCAACATAAAGCATGACCAAATTATGAACTATTGAAACTAATTATGAGGCTATTTATTATAACCAAATGAGGGCTGATACTACCACTTAGCTGCTCGGTAACCTCCATTAGGTGTGGCGTCCGTGCGAGCTAACTCTCTCTCGATGTTGCGTGCGGTGTCCTTGTTCTTGCGGTGCGGCTAGCTCAAGAATTCCTCACCAAATCTCACTAACTCTCCCCACTCTCTATACTCAATATATATATATATGTATTCAGAATGAGGAAAGGGGAAATTCTTCCCAACATTACATATATATACTATGATGGCCGAATGAGAGAGGTTAAGAGGTGGGAAATGGAGTACACTTGGCTTAATCTTAAGAGAGTTTGGCTTAGTCATCACTAAGCAAGCTTAGTCATAATTTGGACAATTATATGATGGACACCTCATGCTTAAGGATTTGGAATTAATTTTTCCCCCCCTTTATTAAACAAAACTCACGGCATTATGCTTTTAATTTCAGAAATCCGTACGGTTTGCTATTAAAACTTGTGATTAATTACTAATTAATCACTTCATTATGTTTAATTATTTAATTAAACATAATGCTTAATTACCAAAATTATTCCGAACGTAAACGGAATGTCGAAAATAATTTCCGGTAATCTCGACTGAGTTGACTGAAATAATTAATTCCGAAAATTAATACTCGAAAATATTAATATATCGGAACTAAAACATGATTTATACTAATAAACTGACGGGATATGTACATAGAACAAGAAAATATGAACTATATATATGAACGGGATATGTCCGAGGACGGAAATTCAAAACATAACTGAATATATATGAACTATGTACATAGAACAAGAAAATATGTACATCAAAACTGAAAATATGGAAAACGAGCGCGAATATCGGATTCCGCCTCCCAAGTAGCTCCGTGGCGATCCCACTGAATCCGCACGAGGGGAACATCTCGCTTCCAGAGCCGACAAACCTGACGGTCAAGTACAGCTACCGATCGCTCCTCGTATGAAATATCTGGCTAAACCTGAATATCTGAATGAGGAATGACATGATCGGGGTCGCACACGTACTTACGCAACATAAATGCATGAAAAACATTATGAATGCCTGATAACTCGGGAGGTAAGGCTAATTGATACGCGACCTCGCATAATCGCTCGAGAACCTCGAACGGGCCAATAAATCGAGGGTGCAGCTTCCCTCTCTTTCCGAATCGAAAGACTCCGCGAATCGATCGAACTCTAAGAAAAGCTGGCTCGCCAATCTCGAACTGAATGTCTCGTCGATGATGATCGGCTGAAGATTTCTGTCGACTTTGAGCTGTCTTGAGTCTCTGCCGGATCAACTCGACCTGATCTGCTGTCTCCTCGATCAACTTGGGACCGAGTACTCGTCGCTCTCCGACGTCGTCCCAATAAAGAGGGGAACGACACTTGCGACCGTAAAGTGCCTCGTAAGGAGCCATCTGTATAGAAGAATGATAACTGTTGTTATACGCGAACTCGGCGTACGGCAACAACGACTCCCACTTAGCACCCCTGTCAACAACCAAAGCGCGAAGCATATCCTTAAGCGTCTGAATGGTCCGCTCGGACTGACCATTTATCTCCGAATGGTAGGCTGAATTGAACTCTAGCTTCGTGCCCATCGCCTCGTGTAAACTGTGCCAGAATCGACTAACGAATCTGGGATCTTTTTCTGATACGATAGTAACAGGCACTCCGTGGAGTCGAATGATCCCACGGGTATAAATCTTAGCCAACTTGTCCAAAGACATCTTCATCGAAACGGGTAGGAAATGAGCGACCTTAGTCAATCTGTCAACCACGACCCAAATAGCGTCATGATGCTCAGACGACCTCGGTAATCCCGTAACGAAATCCATCGTGACTTCTTCCCACTTCCACCTCGGAATCGGTAGTGGTTGCAGGAGGCCGATCGGACTCTGATGTTCGGCTTTGACTTGCTGACAGGTAAAACATCTCTTGACAAACTCGGCGACGTCCTTCTTCATCCCTCGCCACCAGAACAACCCTTTCAGGTCGTGATACATCATCATGCTCCCGGGATGGGCTAGATAGGGTGCGGTGTGAGCCTCTGATAAAATCTTCTTCCGCAACGCCTCAACTTTAGGGACCACGATCCTGCCTCTGAACTCTAGGCACCATCGGCACCTAGCTGAAAACCCTCGACGCCACCGACACGAACCTTGGCATCCATGACACGAACGAACTCGTCAGAAGCTTGCTCTCGCCGGATTCTCTCTCTCAGCGTCGGCTGAATCTGCATGGCACTGACACTGGCACTGACACTCCCTGAAATAGCTGTGGGAAGTGCATCGATCGCCTGAAGCTGCATCCGGGCAAACTCCTGAATTAATGGACTCTACTGAGTAACGACGTACGTCAAGTCACCCCTCACCTTTCAGCTTAGGGCGTCAGCAACGACGTTCGCCTTTCCCAGATGATACTAAATAGAGCAATCGTAATCCTTGACGAGCTCGAGCCAACGGCGCTGTCTCATGTTGAGCTCCTTCTGAGTAAAAATATATTGCAAGCTCTTATGATCTGTGAAAATCTCACAATGACCGCCGTAAAGATAATTTCGCCAAATCTTGAGAGCATGAACGACTACTTCTAACTCTAAGTCGTGCGTCGGATAGTTCTGCTCATGCAGCTTAAGCTGACGTGAAGCATACGCAACGACCTGGTCATCCTGCATAAGGACGCATCCCAAGCCTGTCTCGAAGCATCGCTGAAGATGGTGAAACTCCGAGAAGGATCGGGAATAGTCAACACCGGTGCTGAAGTTAATCTTCTCTTGAGCTCCTGAAAGCTCGACTCACATCGGTCAGTCCACTCGAATCTCACAGACTTCCTTGTCAGCTGGGATAGAGGGAGGGCAATCATGGAAAAACCCTCGATAAACTTGCGATAGTAACCAGCTAGACCGAGAAAACTGCGAACCTCGGACGGACTCCTCGGTGTCGACCAGTTCTGAACAGCAGAGACCTTGGAAGGATCCACCTCGATACCTGCCTGAGTAATCACATGACCCAGAAAGGCTACTCGCTGGAGCCAGAACTCGCATTTGGAGAATTTTGCAAACAACTTTTC